TTTTTAATAGATGTGAACAAGGTGTTTGTAACATTATCATGTAATTATTTTGTTTATAATATTGAAATTGTTGGATAAAATCATTTCCTAATAATATATCACATTCTAATTTATTATAATTATATACTTTATTTATTATAACTTGTTTACTACCAAGTATTATATTAACTTTTTCAGCACTATCAATTATTTGAGTGCTTTCTCCAGTCACTCCTGTTATTTTTATTTTACTATTTTTATTCCATGATTTTATTAAGAAAATTTTAAAAAAGGTTATATCACTTCCTGTATCAATTAAGGCACAAGTTGTTATATTTGTTTTTACTATAGTAACTTGTATATATACTGCTAATGGAAAAATTATTTGATTATTCATCCACTTCCTATTTTACATAATGTAGTTTGTCCTTTATAAGTTATATATAACCCTTCTCTTTTTATACTATAATTTTCTAATCCATTTAAGAAACTCATTCCTAATAATATATGAGATTCAATATCCATACTTTCATCCAAATAACATGGTACTAAAAGATCAATCCCACATATTTTTATTCGTACTTTTACCTTTAATTCTGTAATAGATAGTTGTCCATCAAAATTCCTATATTCATATGGTTCTATCTTGTAAGTCATTAATCCTTCATTTTTAGTTGCAGCCATATGGCATTCACAAACTCCTGTATCTATCAATATATTTGGTCCTTTTATATACCTTCTACCATTGAAATATTTTCCTTCTATTTTCATATTTCCAATATTTTCATGAGGTTTTATTTCTTTTATACCACTAGTTTTTCCCAAATATTCTTTTTTATTTGGTAGTCTAAGACTTTTTGATTTTTTTATCAACTTTCCATTATGAAATGTTATTTTATAATCTTTTTCTTCTCTTAACTCTGTTATTTCAGGCTTATTTTTAATTATATTAAATTTATATTCTTTTGAAATAAGATTTATTTGTTTGTTTGATTCCACTATTTTACTAATATCCTTACATTCCTTATGAATTTCTATGTATGGTTTATTAGAATAAATATTCCCATAATTAGAATTAGTAAATGTATATAATGCCCTATATTCCATAGTCATAATTTGGTCTCCTGGTTTCATTATATAATTTCTATGTAATTTGAAATGTAATCCTAGGATTTCATTAAAGTTTTTATCTTTCAATGAGACACAATATTTAGGGTAACAAGTAAATATTAACTTTTGATATGCTAAATTTCCTTCTATAGTTCCTAAATGACAATCTTCAAGATTTATAATTCTTCCATCGTGTAAACTTACAGTTAATGGTGAATCTATTCCTTCCCTGAATAAAAATTTAAACATTATTTGTACTCCTGCTAAATAAACATATTGGATCTTTTCACTATGTTTTTTTTACTTATTTTTGATAATAATTCTGATACAGTACTTTTAGTTAAAAGGTTTATCTTACGTGTTCCTTGAGTAGTCCAAACATCTATAATTTTTTCAATCTTATAGTATTCATTTATTGCTATTTTTTCTCTTCTCCATATTCTATCTAGAATTTCCCATTTTCCTATTTTCAAATCTAAGGATAACTTTTGTATTTTCTTAAATTTATTATTATCAAAAGTTACTTTTAATCCATAACCTTCTATTCCCTCATATTTTTGGATTTCTATGTTATTATTTTCTATTTCTTCAATTTCTCTATTCAGATTCTGATCCATAATCTTCTGGATCTGCTTCACTTATAAATATTTCTTGATTATTATAATGTTCAATATCAGATATTTCACTTAATTCACTTTCTATTTCAAAATAATCATTTTGTAATATTCTTACTTTTTTCTTTGTGCAATCAGAACTTATATGACATATTTCTCTACAATTTCAACATTTACATTATTTTTTATCTTTCTTATAAGGTTTATTTTTTCTGTATATTATCTTTCCTTTTATAATATCTCCTTATAGGTTTTATATATTTTTTCTTAAAGTTTCTATATTTTTTAAACTTTCTGTTTTTATACTTTCTTTTATTTCTTTTTTCAGAATTACATCCCCATCTTGTAGGTTTTTCCATATCTTCATAACTTATTCTAATTAATTTTCCTGATTTTTTCTATAATTGTGTTTGTTGACATATATATGCAAGTCTTTCAAACGAGAATTTTATTCTTGATCCTAGTGTTCTAGGTATTCCTATATTTTCTTTAATATATTTTTCAAATTCTATTTTAAAATATATTCCCCATGATCTTGGTAATTTATTGTAATATATATCTTGATATACTTCTTGATTCTCATTACTATAAAATTGAGTATAATAGTAATTCTTGAATTCACAAGTATATTCTTTAATTTTACACATATCACAAATTGTTAAATTAATTAACTTAACTCTTGCATTATCTTTTTCTCGTATTGCTTCTTCTTCATAATTTATTAACCAATTTTCTCCTAAGAATTCATCTGCAATATATTCTACTAATCTTTCTATTCTGACTTTATTATTTCTATTTGTACATTTCTTTTTATTAATGATTTTGTATCACTACTAATTCCTTTCCACCAATTTCTAACGTTTCCTTCAAAAGATGCAATTAAAAAAATCTATTCTTCTTTCAGTATTTTCCCATGTATCATCTTTATTATATAAAAAGAATAATATCATTGAGTCTGCCCAAATTATTAAGGCTTTCTTAGTGTCTATTTTGCAATCTAAGTCTAATTTTGTTCCTCCATGGTTAATGAGTTTATCATAATTATTATTTAATTCAAATCTATTACTATATTTATTTCCTTTAGATGGTTGTTTTTCTCTTATTTTATCATAAAATTGTCTATATCGTTTATTATACATTGGAGCATAACTTTCATCTGGATCTATTGATTTTTGTTTAGAGGTTCCTACGGGATTATGTCCTCCTCCAGTATTCCTTAAGATTTGATATTCATCATCTATACTTTTTAAGTTTAAATGATCAAAATTATCTATAAGTAGATCTAATTTTTCATTCATTTTCTTTGTCTTGATTTTCTTCAATTTTCTGTTTACCTAACATTTTTTTTCTAGATTCGTCTTCTTCTAATATTTTAGGTAATATATTTTTTTAAAACTCATCATCGATGCTTCCTATTTCTATTATTATATTTTTCCTTTCAATATGTTTTTTTTTCTATTCTGATTATTTCTTTTTCTTTAAATTTTTTATCTATTCTATTATTCTTTTCTTCATTTTCTTTTAATTTTCTTACTTCAAGTTTCAATATATTTATATCATTTTTTGCTTCTTTTATTTCATTCTTTATTTCTTGTACATCATTTATTAATGTTCTTATTAAATGTTTTAATTCTTCCATATGTTCACTGATTGACATTTTCTTTTATCGATTTTTTGATTGACAATAATAGAATGCTATATACTCAGTATTTTTACAATCTCTTATCATTTTATCATACTTTTGTTTTATAACTTCAATATTTGTTAGTTCTTTTAATTTTTCATAATATCTTGCTTTTTCTTTATACCTTTCTTGCTTTAATTTTAATATTTGTTTTTCTTGAGTTTTAGTTATATCTCCAGGTATTAATAATTCATCTAAAATTTTACTATTTATTAATCTTATTCTTCTTAACTTTCTTTCTAAAATATTTTTAGTTTCTTCCATTATATTTTTATGATGATTTAAATATTTTTCTATGGTATAATTCATTTTTAAATACTTCGATAATTATTTCATATGTACGTATATCTTTGATAAATCCTACAATTAATTTATGTAATAGTTGTTCCTTTATTTCTCTAGGTAAATTCCTAGTTACATATAATATTATTATTTTTAATTTATTAGGGATAGGGTTGAAAAATATATAACATCCTTTTTCTTCANTAATTATTTTTTCTTTTAGTTCTAAAGGTAGATTTTTAATTACTCTAAAAATTTCTAATACTTCTTTTATATCTTTACTATATATTCCAACTATATTATCTTCTTCTATATAACCTTCTATATTAGAACTATATTTTACCCGATACCTTAGTCTATTTTTATAAGTTTCAATAATTTCTAAAATCATAAATTTTATTTATTTTCAATATCTTTTAGGTAATTTATTTTTATATACTTTTTCATGATCTCTATGGCTCTGATACCAACGAGATGATGCTACTATGAGTGAACAAAAATCTAATAATCTAATAATCACAAATCTAATATTCTAGTATTCTAAAAATTCTTTTATTTTTGTTTTAGTTAATTTATTTGTTATTAAGCCTATATAAAACCTTAATGTAAGGTTAAAAACTAATTTTTTATATGCTTGTGGTAATCTATTTTTTATTGGTCTTCTCATAAATTTTTAAGTAATTCTTCAAAATCTAGTAATGTCTGAGAATTTATAATATCAATATGTGTTATCATATCTATATCTGTTCTAAAAGGTATATCGTATTTTGAGATATCTTTCTTTCTTTTTTCTAATTTATCTATGATATCTTGTATATCTTTTATGATTATTGATCTTACAATTCCTTTAGCAAAATTTTTTAATAAGTTTTCTTTGAAACATTTTAATATTTCTTGTGATGCATATAATTGTTCCTGATATCCTATCTTATCAATTTCTTTTTCAAACTTAATTTCTTTTTTATTTTTAATAACCTTTTTTATATTATATGATCCTCTCTTATATTTGAGTTTTTTTCATTTTATAATTATTCATTAATAATTCTTTCAATTTTTTAGAAAAATTACTTGTTAATTTTTTAAGGACTTAGATAGAAGATTTTTATTATGAAATAGGTTGTTTTTAATATTTGTTTAAGGGCATTTTAGGTAGCTTCAAATGTTTGGAAAAGTCAAGGGCCATTTTCAAAAATGACCTCTCTTATTTGGGTCAATTTCATGTATTTCCCAAAAAAAAAAAATGCATATTTTCTTTAAACAATTGGAAATAAATAGGTACTTAAATTAAATTCATATCTTAATCGCACGAAACGGGCTACCACTATCTCCGGTCCAACTTAACCGTACACGGTTCACACATTCCTATAAATAGTCCTCATTTGTTTTCCCAAAATTTTCTATTTCACAGCCCTAAACGTCATATTTCGGAATACATTGGAGCGCTCAATTCAGGTATCTGATCATTTGTTTTATGATTTACTCTTATGGCTTTTGATTACATTCTTTCATTGATAAAAACTTTTGTGTGCTTAGCGTTGATTACTCGCGCACACAACATATAAAAGCACATAAGTTCCAAATAGAAATGAAAAAAATAATAATATGATAATTTACTGTATTTGATGCATTCTTTTTCCAATTTTTGGTATTTTGGGTCTGCTACCGGATTTATTTGTCGGATTCATAACTAGTTTTAACTAGTGAATTAATCAATCATGGTTACTATTGTTCTTGTTATTTTTGAAGTTGGGCACTGAGAATGAAATTTCGGGGTCTATTTTGCGGGAGGTGAGATGGGAATTGACAAGTTCTCTGAATCAAAACCGAGGGCATAGTTTGCCAAATTTCGATGATAATCAAACATTTTGGCAGTTATACTATTTAGGGGTTTCAATAGTTGCTGTTTGCACTTTATCCCTTGATTCGATGGTTAAATGAACATGGGGAATTAGCTACTTAAGTATTCAATATCTGAATAAGAATTCCGTGAGGGCTTAGGAACAGGTCCTTGGATTCCTGAATTACTGTATTGGCATGATTTATGAATTTTTATATTTCAGCTTTAAGATTTGTTCAGCACGTGATAATGATCAATTAACCATAAGAGAGCAAGTGATGTTTAGGCGTATAAATTTTAAACTTTTACTCTGTGGAAAATATCTCCATTAGGGATTTAATAAATTCAGCAATTGTTTAATACCTATCAAGAAAATAAATAAATACAGCAATGGCTCTTGGCATTTAACAGTAGTATGATGAGCTTATTTTGTCATCAGTTCATTAATTGTATTCTGATACTACAAGTTTGTGTTCACGTGTGTTCGGGTTTTAATGATTGTTAGTTAGGGGAATTCTTCCGTCGCTCATGGGCTCTTCAAGTGAAGAGTATGCTGCATTTCGAGAGAAGGTGAGAAGGACGATATATGTTGACAACATGTCGCCATTGGTTACTGAATCCGTCGTTAAAGCTTCTTTCAATCAGTTTGGTAATGTGAGCAGTGTTCAGTTCATTCCTACCTATCTTGAACCGAAAACCATGGCACGAGCTGCTTTAGTTGAGATGGAAGACTCAAAACAGGCCAGAGACATAATTGCTGATATGGAAACTCACCCACTCATGATATTGGGAATGCCAAGGCCTGTCAGGGCACGTCCAGCTGAAATAGAGATGTTTGATGATCGTCCCAGAAAACCTGGAAGGAGAATACAATGCCGTTGGTTGGAGCCTAAAGATCCCGATTTTGAGGTAGCCCAGAAAATTAAGCAAGTCGTGAATAGACATGCTGCAGAGGCTTCTTTCTTGCTTGAGGTAAATTTGGTTTTCCTTAGCTCATGTTTGTCAATGTTTATAAACTGGTTCTATTTTTATTCGCACTTTTTTGTAAGACCCACAACTTTTATCTTCTTTTTACCCATACATTCCTCCGAACCCACTAGTTATAATCAATTATAAGTTTTGACAAACATGGGCTTAATGTGTCATTTTTACTACCTTTTTTTTTTTTTTTTTCCTTTTTTTATCAGACATGTTCAAACCATATTGCTATTCATAACATGTTATATTGTGTTTATGCAGCAACAACTGGCACATGAAGCAAAACTTGCAAACCAGCAGGTTGAAACCTTAAAGGCGAACTATAAGAAGTTTCGACTGATAGATGGCCTCAATGAAGATGGTGCTGTTAAAAGGTTGGCAGAGTTTTATAAGATGCCTGTTTCAGACCCTTGATCGATTTTCATGACGGGTTAACTAGCTCGACCTTAGATACGTTAATTGGTCGGTGTAAAACTTCGTGTTTCTTTCCCTTTTCTCCCCTTACTGGGTCGTGCTGTAGAGAAGGTTGCTGTAAAGTTTACTTCTACCTGTTATGAATCTTTTCCATTTGAATGCTATAAACATGAATGGGCGTAGTATGTGCATGGCATGTCTCGGTTAATGGTTTTGTGCTTGAGGAAATTAGGAGTGCAGTATTAATCCCTGCGGAAATTAGGAGATGCTCCAAGCTTTAAAGGGGTCAGGGTGAGAAATCATATGAAGGTCTATGTGCTTCTCCATTGGTCTTCTTAACAACTAAATCGTTTTCAATTTTCAGAGTAAACCTTCCACTTGGAAAACCAATATATTTCTCTGAAACCTTCATTCCAGGCATAACTTAATCTCAATCACTCTCGCAACATGTTTAAAGTTTCAGTGGGGTCAATCGTTAACTTATATCACTATAGACTAAAAATGTTTAAATATGTTGCTTACTTTATACAATAACAGAATTTTGAATAGAACTTCGTGTAACGAAATGCACCAAATTTACCGTCAACATTTTGGTACATAGGATCATCGATCATCTTTCTAGAGACAAGCATCAACGAAAAATTCTATCTTGACATATGGATCATCGAGGATCTGTCATTACATAATGAAAATGCTGCGTTGTATTGTTAATATTCAAATGAATAATTCAATAGGTACAAGGATCGACATAAATGATATAGGTGTTGCGTTGATAACATTTGTACGGTGCAGTTTCTACGTTTGTTTTGCCAAAAACGACAAAAAACTGCCAAGTGTTTTTCATAATAATTCTGTCAATTTTTTTTTTGTACTCGTAGCAAAACTCTATTAAACTATCCGCCCCAGAGATAAACAACTTTCCTATTGTTTATATACATCTAAATAACTTTCTTATCGCTTACCAGGAACATGAAGAGTTCAATATATATATATATATACTTTTTATTTTTCCGATAAATACCTCGTACACATTTGAACCGTCTCGAAAATCATATTATATAAAAGAAAAGGAATGACTACAGCATCCAATCATGATCTGAAGTATAACTTTTACTCTAGCAAGCATTGCGTGATAATTCTTTTAAGAAAATTAAGTTGTTTTTGCATGTTCTTTTTATTTATTAAAAAAAAAAGGACCAAAAAAATAAGTTGTTTGACATTATTTGAAGGGGAAATTGCACCAGCAGTCCCTAATCTTTTTATTTTTTGCAAACTTTATCCTAACCTTCATTTTGTGCCAGCGAAATCCCTAACCTTTTATAAATATGCATTTGAGGTCCATCTGAACGAAAATTGACCAAAATACCGTTAGTTGACAGGAAAAATTAAGGAATCAACATCCAATAAAATCTTCGTGGTAGCAAATAGTTCAAGGATTTTTTTTTTGGTCAACTGACAGTGTTTTGGACATTTTTCGTCCAAATGGACTTCAATTGCATATTTATGAAAGGTCAAGGACCTTCGCCGGCACAAAATGAAGGTTATAGTAAAGTCTGCAAAAAAAATGAAAAGGTTAGGACCGTTGCTGCAATATTTCCTTATTTCAATGAACTTTTGAACATAAAACATTTATCAAACGCAAAAATGTGTTAACTAATGAAAAGTTTGACAATAAAAAAAGATATAAAAAATTGTTAGTGATATAAGTGCTATAATGAGCAAATGTTAATAACATTAAGTATAATAAATATGGTGTAAGAAATAAAAGTTGTGGTGTGAATATAATTACCTATTATTAAATCTTGGGTAAATATATTAATGCCACAATTTTTGTTAACTACACTACATTTTAATTACATTGCAAATCAC